GGAAGGGGGCCTTTTATAATCACCCTAGTACACTTACTCCCATACCTCTGCCAGATCGGGTATCATCACCTCCGCCAGATCGGGTGTCATCACCTCTGCCAAATGCCAGATCGGGTGTCATAACCGCCACTGTCTTCCTTGTCAGGGCCGTCTCTGCCACGTCTGAGATGGTGGTGGCAGGTGGCCGTTGGAGGGCGGCTGTCATGTGTCGGACCCCTAATCAGTCAGGCGCGCCGCTTCCGTGTACGGGCTTCCTTGGCATCAGGTATGGTTGTTCAGTCAGGCGACCTGGAGCCGAAGTACTGGAGTGGTGTGCGAGGTGAAGTCGAGTTCGGATAGAAGTGTGGCCCAAACTACCCCGAGGTGGGTCAGCTCGGGTTTTTGCCCTTTGCGCTCCTTGTAAGGCTCAGGGCTTCAAAGGGAGAGCTCGGGCTCCTCCTTGGGGAGCTCGGGTCGTGAGCCCGCTGTCGTGCCGAGCTGGCGCTCCTGCCAGGTCACTCTTGATTGCTTCCACGTGTCGCGCGGCCAAGGGGTCGGGCCAAATCTCCCTCCATCAATTGCCCCCCACTCCTCGTGCTTGGGGTCCTGACCCGGTGTGGGGAGTTCACGGGATGACGGGTGGATTTGCCTCATGACACTTTGGCCTTGGTTTGGAGCTTCTTCGGTCTGACCTGCTTGTGCTTTCGGCCCGATCAGGGTCGGCTTGGTTCGACCAGGGGTCAATCCCAGGTCGCGTGCAGCTCACGCGCGGACGTCAAACGATTATAAATTTTCGAATGTAAAAAATTCGCGCTAAACTGACTTCACCTCGGGGGGCGCGCAACTGGTTTTGCTGGGAGCCGTTGGATGGTTTTGATCTTGGCCGTTGATGCGCGAGTACAGTGGCTATAAATAGTGGGGGGCCCCTGGTCACTTTACTTTCCTTCGCCATTCTTTAGCATTCGCTCCTTGAGCTCGCGTCCAAGGCTGTCAGCTCGCGTCATTCTTCGTAGTTCGGTAGCTTTTCCCCGGTGAGTCCTCAGCCTTCTTTTCGATTCAATGTCCAGCTCGGGTAGTTTAGATAGTCTTCTGGGGGGGGTCAAATGCTGGGTCCACGAACCGAGCTGCTGCCCCTGACAGCCTTAGTGNGATTCAATGTCCAGCTCGGGTAGTTTAGATAGTCTTCTGGGGGGGGTCAAATGCTGGGTCCACGAACCGAGCTGCTGCCCCTGACAGCCTTAGTGAGTCCGAGGCAGGGCCCGAGGTAGAGCTCGAGGAAGATCTCGAGTTCGAGCCCGTAGGCCGAGTCACCTCGGGTAGCTTGGCATCCACCTCCCGTCGAGGTCAGACGCCAGATAAGTTCGGGCATTCCACTATGACGCCCGAGTGACTTCGGTCCCTTATTGCTCAGTATAACCTGCCCAGGGAGTATACTTACATTTTACCCTCGGGCGACTTCCCTTGGGAGCACGGTCCGGACGAGATCGTGATATTCTGGGAGCAGCTTGTTGCCGGGCTGCGCCTTCCTTTCCATCCCCTTATCGTCGAGGTCATGAATCACTTCAGCGTTACTGTCGGTCAGCTCCACCCAAACTCCATTCGTAACCTTGTTGGGACCATCTCCCTTTGTTGCGAACATTGCCTTCCATTGGACCTGGAAATCTTTTCCGCCATTCTTATGCTCAAGAAGCAAGCGGGTCCCCTGCCTGGGCGTAGGCGGGCCTACTACTTGTCTCCTCGTCCGAGGTTCAAGCTTTTGCACGATCTTCCGAATAAGGTCCCAACACGGAAGCGGGACTACTTCGTGGTTCGAAGTGCTATGGGGTGGCCGTTTCCTACCGAGTGGGGATTGGTTGATCCTGATCCCGATGCCACGTTAGATAAAGATACGGCGAAGGGCCTCTAGGACTGGGCCCGGCTTGAGCTCGAATGTCGAGACTACCTGACGGAGGCCAAGCTTATTCAGGCCGGTCTGAGTTCAGGTAGGTTTCTTGCTTAGAGGCTTGCTTTTGCTTTGTTTTTATTCTCGTCTTTTGACGTCGATCTCCTTTTTGCAAGTGTTATGGAGGCAGAGAAGACTTGAGGTGCGAGCTTGTTTGATGGTATGAGGAGGAGGAAGCGAGCCGCTAAGCGGGTCCGTGCCGATCCTTCCCGGGTTGCGGAGCCCAAGGCACCGAGCCCTCTGAGAATGGAGCCTTTCGGGGAGCCCAAGGTGGCCCCTCCAATTCAGGAAGCGACAGGGGTCCCTTATGCCGATACTGCTTATACCCGGGCTGTGCCTTCAGGCTCGGGAAGTCAGGATGGGGTTGGGAGCGTGCTGACGCCGAGCTACGCTCTCCGAAAAAGTAAGAATGCTACCTGCCCTGAGGTGGTCGCGGCGTGGGCCGATCTTCCTCCGAATCACATAGGCGCGCATGCTGCTACTCACGCCATGGTGGTAAGTCGAAGTAGTTTTTTTTTTTTTTTTTTTTCTTGTTGGGCTGATTTGTTCTCGTTTTGGCAGGTGAACTCCTCTATCCACACTAACACTCCAGGCGGAGAGGGGATTGAAGCGAGCGCAAGCTGTCGAAGAGGCTTCCCGCGCTGCGCGAATCGAGCTAACGAGGTCTCGGAGGGACAACGAGGCCTTGGGATTGGTGGTGAAACACATGGCGGACCTAAAGCTGGACCTGGAGTATCAGGTCGAGTACCTTCAGGATGATATCAGGGAGAAGACTGAGATCTTCTCTCAGGCCATCGAGGAGGCGAAGGTGAAGGCCGTTCACGATTACATCGCTTCGCCACGCTTTGACGACATGATGGTGGGCTCGTACAGAAGGGGTTTCAAGTTGAGCCGATGGATGATAAGGAATACGTACCCCGAGCTCGACATTAGTGCCATAACCACTTCGCGCATCACTTAGGAAATGGCTGCCGCAACTGATGATGATGCGGATTCCGAAGACGAAGCGGGACCTTCGGGTATTGTCGAAGTCCCTTCCGAAGGCGAGGAAGATGTACCTCCGGGCATGTGAGCTCGTTGCTGTTGCTGTTTTTTTTTTTTTGGAATGAAATGTAAGCAAAATTATTTTGCAATGAATAGTCCCCTTTTTTGGTTAAGTGTTGGGCAATCATTTTCTCTTTTCGCTGAACTGACTATGTTGTTGAACTGCTAGACTTAGGCCCCGAGGTGAGTTAACATAGTAAGGCTATACACCCGATCTGTTCTCCGCCTGGGTTAGTTAACATAGGCTAGAATTGGGTCCTGGGCTATGCACCTCGAGATCCATACTCGTGCAGCCTGCTTCGTTGATGAGGTGTCGAGGTCATCTTCAGCTCGACATTCTGGCCCTTATGGTGCCGAGGTCCTTGTTAGCTCGGCATTCTGGCCCTTAGGCTCTGGTAGTGGCTCATGGCCTACTTAGTTTGATAATTTATAGGTAATATCGTCTTAAGTTGGCGATGTTCCATGCCAGGGGTATTTGTTTATCCTCTAGGGTCTCGAGCTCGTATGCTCCCCCGAGTGCTCTCTTTACTTGGTAGGGTCATTCCCAGTTCGGCCCCAGTTTTCCAACGTCGGGCTCAAGTACCATGACCTTGCGGAGAACCAGGTCGCCGACGCAGAAGTTTCGTCTCTTAACTCTGGCATTGTAGTATCGAGCTACCCTTTGTTGGTACGCTGCGGTCCTGATGTATGCGAGGTCCCTCACCTCGTCAAGTAGGTCGAGGTTGGTACGTAACTCGTCGTTATTAGTATTGTCGCTGTATGCTTCCATACCGAGCTACCGTTTCTTTAATAATTATTCATGATTTTCATAAGAAAAGTATAAATTTCATATTAAAGTATAGAAAATCAACATATTCATGAGAAGAAAAGGAAGAAGGAAAATAAAATTCAAAAAATAATGGGGCTGAACCCTTATTTTTGTTATAGGAAAAGAAGAAAATAAAAAGTATTGGTAGTAGTAGTAGTAGAAGAAGAATATATGGAAGAGGAAAATGTGCTGATTAGATAAAATTTTAAGTTCTTCCTTATTTATTGGTTCAGGCTTTTAAGTCTTTGAGGGTTCAATACAGCATTTAGCAATGTTTGTGTTGATCAAACCCTAATAAATAAGAAAATAATAAAAAGAGATTAGTATATAAACACAATGATTATTTTAGTTTAATAATGTCTATTTTATAATTATAATCTCAAAAAGAATGAATAAAAAAGTATTTTATAGTAGGAAGTAGAAAACTGCTTGGCGATTAGGCGAGGCAAGCTTCAAAGGGTGCCTTATCGCCTAGGCGTCACCTTGACAACTATGCTGGAGAGCTTTCTGGTTCAAAGTTTCATTCAAGTTAGAACACTGGTGGATTGAATAATGTCTGTAGCATGTAGATGTAAGAAAAAAAGATTCAAACCCCACAAGGTTTGGGTCCTTTCTCTGAGATTCCCTCTTTTCACAATTAATGGATAGCCATCATGCACCTGCTGAAAGATTTTCTCCTTCAGGCTCTGATTCTGACTTGCAATTGCTTATTGGAGTCCTTAAGTGTTAACTGAACAAAGAGGGGAATCTTTTTAGTTAACAAAAGGGTCTCTTTCAGTACTCTAGTGTGAGACAGCACTAACATGATTCCCTCCCCCTTGCTGTCTTTAATCTTTGACAGGATGTGCAATCTAAAGTAAGTGACGTTGTTCTTGGAAAGGAAAAGCCATTGGAAGAATCAAGCCCTGAATATGAGAAACTTAAACATTACACCTTTGAACTTGAAGATCACTTGGCGGAAGCACAGAAGCATGCTTTTCGTCTAGTGAAGAGGCACAGAGGTACTGATAATATTGAAATCTAATTGGTGGTTTCTTGAATGTTCTCTATCTGTTATCACTCCATTTCTTTTAGCTTTTTCAAGTTTCATATTCAAGTAGCATATAGATCTGCTCATCTAGCTTATCTATGTTTGCAGAGCTGGGACAATCACTGGCAGATTTTGGCAAAGCAATCAAACTTTTGGGTGCATGTGAAGGAAACTCTCTTGGGAAAGCTTTTTCTGAACTTGGATCAAAGTCGGAAACGTTATCAATTAAGCTACAGAAGGAGGTAGGTTGTGGTGTTTAATCTTTGGGATGATGCAATCCATAAATGTTATTTTTATTTTCTAGGTTTAGGATCCTTCTGCATAAATATATTTCTGATGGTGTTAATGCACTTGGGATGATGACCTAGGCTCACCACCTGTTAATGAAGTTTGAGGAACCTTTAAAAGATTACGTTCGTGCAGTGCAGTCTATTAAGGTGAGTTGGTTCTCTGGTTTAAAACCATAATTCCATCAATTGTGAAGTCAGTTGTTCATCAGCTTGAATTGTGCCAACCCTATTAAGCTGAAACATGGGAACATGTTGAAGATCCAGCAAACTAACGAGTATTGCAAATAATTCTGTGAAGATTAGTTGCAACTTGCATGGTCTTTTTTTGTCTCTTCTTGAAGCTTGCACTTGTAATCTGATTTTCCAACAGGCCACAATGGCAGAGAGAGCAAATGCCTTCAAGCATCAATGTGAATTAGCTGAAACAATCAAGCTGAAAGAGATAAACCTGTAAGATTTCAGATAGATTCTTCCATGTTTTCATACTTCTTACATTTTTCCAGTGGAATTGAGTGGTGTCTTTTGGATGTGGTCATCCACAATCATAAGTTTCCTTCACCACTGTTGTTTCTGGAAGCCAAGAATTTCCTTCTGATGGTCTGAATTGCAAGATTCCTTATAAACAGATAATACCTTGTTTCTCTGGGAACAAAAGTCTGTTCTACAATTTACTATAGCAATATGTGTTGCTTGATGATTTGCAATGATTTTTCTACCTAGGGTGGTCATCAATCCTCACTACCACTCATTTGTAACTAGAAGCAATAGTCTTGTTATTTCTAATGGATGCACAGAATTCTTTTCCCTTTTCCTTTTGATATGCAGGCATTTATATTGATTCATTTGTTTGCAGTGATAAACTGATGCTAACACGATCAGATAAGGTTGGAGAAGCTGAGATTGAATATAGGGAGGTAAGCTTTCAGTTTATAATGTGTGCATGTGCGACATGTATTCCCTGGTGCAGCAGCTCAAGATTTGCTATTTGGTTGATATTGACTTTCTGGTGCAGTTGAAAGCAGAGGGCGAGGAAGCGACCAGAAGATTTGAAACAATTGTGCGGCTAATGAGTGAAGAAATTGTGCGTTTCCAAGAGCAGAAAACACTGGACATAGGTATTGCTTTCCATGAACTTGCAAAGGGGCAAGCACAGATGGCAAATGAGATAGCAGATGCCTGGCGCAGTCTCATCCCCAAGCTAGAAGCTTGTTCTGCTCGCACATGAATCACAAGAAAACCATGAATAAGCATTCACTGTTCTGGGAAGCTTTCCTTGGGTTTTACTACATAAGGTCTTCTCTTGTATAGTTTAAATTCTGAAAGTCAATTCATCTATAGGTTGTTGTAAAAATGTTGGTTAAATTTTCATTATGTAACTTGTACCAATTTCAAGTATAATAAACTTTGCTCATTTAATTCATTTCCAATTTCTGATGCAAAACACCAATGCATCATAGTAAATGCATTTGGATGTGAAAACCATGGATGCAAAACCGGTTCTGTCATGCACTGGTGTTTGTATTCATCTTGTTTGTTTGTTCAGGGAGAGCAAACGTAGGTACATTTTTTCACCTATTTGTTTGAACAACGGGAAATAGTAGCAAGAAGACGTAATTTCAATAGAAAATGTCTACAACTCATTGACTCATTTATATCAATCAGGACCAATGCACAGTTTATATCCATGTTTTGGAAGCAAATTTTGCATCAATTTTGAGAGCAAATAGAAATTTCAATGCATGTCATCCCAATAAAATGAACACAAAACTGACTCGGACCACACCAGCTATCTGTGGTCATCACCCAATGTCCCAGCTATTTGCGGTTCCCTGTGGGAGACTGATCTCCCTAATTTCAATCATCCATGACCAGGGCTATCAATTCTCTTAACTTTCTCTCTTGCATTTAGGATGCGTTTAGATTGGGCGTTGAAGATTGAAATGCCAGTGCTTGCTTGCTTGGCATTAGACCCAATGACACCACTTAAAACAATGCATCTATTGCAAATTCTGGGGCTTAAAATAAATAAAACCATGGATTTTGTATTGGTATTGGGTATCAAGTAACTCAGATAAGCTTTGGTAATATATGGATATGGACAAAAATTATGAAAAACGCTTAGGAAAATTATATAAATTCTATAAATACATTAATAACATTAAATGCAAGGTCAAATAGTCACAAATAATGTATAATTACATTGGAAATATATATTTTAATAATATCTATAGAAAATATTTACAATTAATATAGTGGGATGCATAGATATAATACAATTTTATTGATAATGTATCAATCAAGACTCTAATACATAAAACATATGCACTTATTATATTGTAATTGGTATATCAATTATTTTCTATTTTTCTATTTTTACTTTTTTTTTTGTATTAACAAAAAATTCAACCAAACATTAAATTATCAAATGTAAATCAAAATATTAATTAATAATTTATAAAAATATATAATCTCAACTTAAAATATACCAATTCTGTTAAAATTTTTAGATACATATCATATCCAAATTTGTAATTTTTAATTACTAAAATAATTATTCTATTATTAATATTTTTTGTTTCTATTATAATTTTCTGAAATTAAAAATCATTTTTGATATACGTGTAAACTAATAGATTTAATTTAATATTATATTCTCAAATATTTTATAAATATTTTTTTTAATAAATAATAAATGTATTACTATTTAATGTAAATTAAATTATTATTTAATTATATATTATATGCTTATATGTTACATGCTGGCTCTCTGAATCGGTTTTTAAAACATTAATGTGCGGGGTGATACGGACCTATACACATCCGTATCGGTTTTTTTTTTCAAAAACTTGAATTAATCCAATTTTCCCTTGTTTTTTTGGTAATACAATCTTTCCCTTTTAAGGTCGAGTTCTTCTCTAAGCAATACTGCGATAGTGAATTTATGGCTGACTTAATATGTTGGGCTCCAACCCCCAAAGATGGCCTATCCTATCCAACTCATATCGCCCATTGAACCTTCGCTACCTCAAAATTTCCTCCCTTTTTTATTCCTTTTTTGCTTCTCTGACCTCAGTGAGCCAAAGCCATGGCTTCTGCTGCTGCTGCTGCGAAGCAGCTTCTCTACCCGTCACGCAGCACCTCACTCGTGCCACGCTATTCTCCATCGGTTCCGTTCATTTTTAGGACAGTCGTGTTTAATAGAAACTACAATCGGGTGTTTCAATTAAGTGAATTTTCCGGCGATCGGATTCCGACTGTTGTTTCCAAAGCATCGTCGGAGAGTGACAGCATTGTCCAAACCGACGATAGCGATGATGGGGTTTCTCTTGGAACCATGAAGTTACCATTGGATACCGACATCCCAAGATTCGAAACTCTGCTCTTCCAGGTAACTGATTCATAAATCATTCTACTCAGTCATCAAGAACCCGATTATCCACAAATCTATAATTATTATAAGATAAAGTAGAAGATGGGGAGTTGCAGATTTACAGGCCTGGACATAGGACCTCATTTTTCTCTTTATTTTTAAAATGTTGTCCAGACTCAAGATTCAAATCCAATGGTTTATGATTGAGGTCTATGCTTCTGGGTTTGTCTGCTCCATTACGTTTTCATTCAATAGCTCCCATTCTCTGTACTCTACAGAAGTTGTTATATGCTGGTGAACATGAAAACTCAAATGAAGTTGTATTGAATTTGATGAAGAGACAAAGTTTCTGGTTTTTATTCAATTGGGTGTTTCCTTGTTGATGCATGTAACAGTGGGCAAACAGTCTTTGCCAAGGAGCCAATCTGCCTCTTCCTGTGCCTTTGAAGGTTAGCTTCTATTTTTTTTTTATTTCTTTTCTTCTGGTTCATACTCTTCAACTTACAAATCAAGTGCGAAGTTAAAAACTAAAGAAAATCAGAAGAACAAAGTAAAGAAATCTGTGCCTATGTTCACGGATCAATTCCTGCTAGATTCCACTCTGTTCTCAAACCAGTATTACAACCCTAGCTTCCTCCTGCTGGTTCTAGAATGGTAGTGTTTCTCCTCTCATTTATATGTGATCAGCTCGTGAGCCCCAGTGAAACTGAGACTAAATCCTCCATGGTTTCTATTTTCTACAGTGGATTAGAACAGATGGTAAACATGGTAAGGATATTTGACTGCTGCAATAACTCAATGCAACCCTGTATTTTTTGGGGGCACCAGTCAGCATGCTTATTCAACTTCATTTGCTGCCGAATCCATTCTCCAACCTCTCCCTGATTGGCCTGCTCTACAAAGAAGCTTCTATACAGGGTTTTGTATTCTAGTTTCTTTGGTATAATGTTTGAACAAGTGCACTACTTGATTCAGGCCTATCCAACCTTTCTTCCTTTGAAATGATTCTAGTCCTGGAGCAGCAGTGATGGTAATAATAGCAGTAACAAGGTAGTTTGGCCTGGAGCCTTGGACTAACCACCCAGGTCCAGGAAAATGTTGACAAGACAATTCTCTTATTTGTCTAGAGTTCTTTTCTTTGATTGAGCAGGTGGATAAAATACCAGGTGGTGCCAGATTGGGGTTCATTACAATTGGAGATGGCAAGACAGAAGTTCTTGTCTACATAGATTGTCTGGTTTTTCCGGCAGCTGAAGGATCAGGTCCAATTTTCCGAGCTATAAGGAATGGAAAGTTGAAAGATCAGGCTCCTCCCGGTGAGCCGAGAATCATGAGGAGCCTTCTGCAGGCACTCAAAAAGTCTGTTGAAATTGCTAGAGTGTAAATTTGTAATTGGGTGTGCCAGAGATGCCGCAGTTGTTGCAATCACTTCTAATGTGCCTAATTAAGATAATATAGCTTAGCATCTGTTATGTCATCTTGTATTTTACTTATTCAATAAACTTCCAATAAAATGATTTTTGTTACACTCCTCTAATCTGTATGGCTTCATTGTTTCTAATCAATCCAAAGCATCTGGCCAGTTCAAAACTCAATCCAAGTAGATGGTCAATTGCACTGTTTTTGTAGCCATAAATAGAAGGCAATAGTCAGCAAAGCATATGCTGTAAAAGGGAATTCTGAACTATATGAAAACCTGATCATTAGCCAACAAGTCACTTAGGAGAGTTTTAATACTGTATAATTCTGTCTGTTGGGGGTAATGCATCACTTTCAAGCTAAAGTAGACCAGTTACCAAGTAGCTGGCCTGCACCCAAGAACCCGAATGAATTCATGATTGATGCAAAGTCAGGAATCAATCAGACAGAAATGTATTACATATCATTCAATCTATTTGCAACAGTTCACATGATTTTTTGGTAGAGTTTGAATGCTTAGTAAATTCAACACTTTTTCTATGAACTAGCAGAAACCCAACTTAAATTTCTGTAATAAATATGAAGCTACCTATTGGTCTCATTAAATTAGTTTTTTGGAGCCAAGAGATTGGCAATGAGGCTGTGCCCAATTCACCAAGTACAGATGGCGTCTATGTCTGAACCAAGAACGAAGTGAATAAAAATATAAATCCACAAGCTATAAACTTGTCTATTAGTAATTTGGGCTGGAGCCTAACATTATGAGCTAGAACTAATTCAGCCAAGCCATATGGGTTGAGAGAGTCTAAACTTACAGAGATGACAAACCAATTCAATTATTCGTTGTTTTGCTAATCCCAATAGGGGAAACGACACTCAAGAAAATACACTCCATGATATCTGCTATAAAGTATAAACACATGTACATGAACAGGCTATGCCACCGATCAAAAGTGAACACGCTAATGATCCTTTCACCTGAAGCCCCTATCATACATATGATGAATAACTAGTGTGTTCTTCTTTTGGGTAAATTGTAAATTAGTATCTGTACCAAGGTTCAAAATATCGATATGTCCGATACATCGGTAGAGGCATATCGTATCAGTAGTTTTTTTGGGGTTTTACTTATTTTTTTCGAAATCGATTCAGAGAGATTGGTTTAAGGCATGACTTTCCTCTGAACTAGTGGCTGACCTGATACAACCCCTAGAGGGGTGTATTGGAAAGCCATCGGCATGATACGTATCGATACTTTGAACCTTGCCCTGTACTTTGGGATAGTCTTACTTTGGTACATGAACTTCAAAATGTGATATTGCAGTACCTGAACTCCCGAAAACTGCCGGCTTAGTCCCACACCATTAATTGATATTACAATGGATAGTAAAATTATCAAACTGCCCTTTGTTGTCATGAACAATTAATCAAAGATGTTGATAGAACTGATGAAACTCCTTTCTCTCTCTCTCTCTCTCTCTCTCTGCTCTTGATGGTGCCCTATTCTCTCTCACTTTGCCATTGTTGAATAAGTTGAAGTTTTGTATCGACCATCATCCTTCAAGGTTTGACACAGAGCAGTGCAGTGACCATCTTTTTTGGGTTTCCATTGCTTGTTCGCAAATGACCTATTCTATCTTCAACCCTGCTGCTCATCTCTCTTGAGATGTTCATTTCATATTGAAGCATATGATTGCTTACATAGGAAGTGGGTAAACTTTGAATGCTTACATAACGTTGACCGTTGATTTCAAGGTGAAACAAACACAGCTTGTGGGTAAACTTTGATTCACCCCTGCCTAAGAACATTTTAAGATCTGATCTAGCCGCCTGGTTTCTACAGCTAGACTGTAGTGTATAGACTTGGTACAATAAACATTGTATTGGAATCTTGTGAAATGCAAAAGGCATTAACTTGTTGCATTTACCATGAGGCTGTAAGGCATTGTAAGGCTTAACTTTGACAAATGCTTCTTAAGCCATGTTCCATTTTTGGTAAGTTATTTACCCAGGTAAAATACCTGGGTAAGTTTTTGCTGGAATACTTATTCGGTTAAGTGCATTTACTTATGTTCTTTTATTTTCCAAATAAATAAGGTAATGATCATTTTAACCATAAAAACTATTATTAAAATGGGTATTTTTTTCTCATTCAAGTATTAGTAACTTTCCACCTAGGCGGGAAAGTTATTTACCCACCTAGAAGATGGGCCGGGTAAGTGGTACACAGGAAAATAAACTTTTCCTGGTCCCCACATAAATCTGAAAAATAAATATGGGATTCTTAGTTAATGAAAACCAAAATCCTATTGACCAACTTTCCCCCCTCTCAAAATCTAAAAAAAGAACACCCCCTTAAAGATGGGTTTTCAGAGGATTTGTGTGTTTTCATGAGTAATGAGGGAGACATCTTGTTATCCTTCTATAGTTAAATGGTTTTTGTCTTTGACAATTGTTCTAGAGTTGAAATTATGGCCCTGACTTGTACGTGTGCTCTCTTTATGCTTTGAGAAATGAAAATGTCATTGACATTTGGTGTAAGTTTCACTCAATCGATAATGAGTTTGGTGGAGCCTAGAGGTGGTATTGTTGGATTTTAATCTCATAAGAGATTAAATCCATTGGGTTTGATTGGTCAATTACTTGAGAAATTTCACCTGCACACTTGATTGAAAAATCAGTTTTTCTCTTACAAAAACCCAGTTTTGAACTTGTCCCATATTGGAAAATTATAAGTTTTGTTTTCAATTTTTCAATAGGAGATGATTTACACTCCTTAGAATTAGTAGAGGAGAGTATGGGGATTCGATATTGCACAACGCGCGCGCACGCGTGTGTGCGGCGCAATGAGGCGCTTTAGAGGTGCACTTTGTGCGCACCCGCATGGCTCGCAATGGGCGGCTCTGGTTTTGGTGCGTTGATCACCGTTGATGAGATCAACGGTCACGATTCGATCGGGTGTGATCAAGAGGCACAATTCAAAGTTAACAGTCATCAACTGTTAACTACTTTTTAAACAGTCACTATCATCTTTGCTGGTTGCAGATTCTTCAACTTTGCTGATCGCAGATTCTCGCCCAAGGCTCTATTGTATCCTGGGAACAAATTTGCCTGTAACCCAACAGCAAACTCAGTGAGGGAAAATAACGTTCTAAAAACAATGTCTTTAGATGCGCCTCAGAGCTTTTCCTCCAAAGTTACAGTGACCCCGTTTTCCCCAACAGGTGTAGTCAGTAGAAGGAAATTGTAAAGGATATTTTTATTTCTTGAGTTTAGGAAAGATATTTAGAATCAATTTCCATCTATTTTGCAGACACACTGGCAACTTTTCATTGATATTCTAGGCCTTTTGGAGACCTACTTCTCTTCTTAGAGAAGAAAAATCATATGGAGAGGCACACTGTAGTGCCATCGATGGAGTATTTCAGCATAAAGAAATTCCAGGACTTTTTCAAATGAAGGATAGAAAATGAATTTATGTTGTTAGAAGAGTTTCTACTGGATTGTTATGAGAGATGGCTTTTGGGGCAAAAGCTTCAGTTGTTGAGGCTTTGGAGTGTGGGAAGGATGGATTTGCAAAATTTGTAGCAGGGAAATTGGGCACTAGTTGTGGAGGCTTTTTTTTTGTAGTGGTAATTATAGTGGGGGGAGTAGGCGTTGCAAGTACGTGTGCAAGTTGGGCGGATTGGGCCAGGTTTATGGTCAACACAGGCCCAATCCTAAAATTTGGGCTTGAAGTCCGAGCCCGAGGTCAAGCTCGATTTTCCCAACCTGAGTCCGGCCCACATTATAATTTGATGCACTCAATTTAGGTTTGGGTCAGAGCCAAACTTAGGTTGGTCAATGAATCCATTCTAAAATTATACAAAAATTAGATGCTTTTTAGAAGTATTGGGTAACGCCGAGTTCACAAGTATTGGAACGTATTTTATTAGTAGAAGATGCAGACTCTTTTTGTGAGATTTGTAAAACAATAAGAGAGATATTGAATAAATTTATAACCAATCAACGGTATCATAAAGTGGTCCCCAATCAGGTGGTTCTCAATAAAAGGAAAATTATCATATAAAAAAATCATGGTTTTTAAAAACGAACTAGTGACCGAACCGGTTAGGGGTCCGGTTACCAGTTCGAATGGTCTGACCGTTCAACCCGAATGATCGGCCCGTTTTGACAAAAAAATTAAAAATAAATAAAAAATTGGAAAACGGTCAAAACTGTTCGAATCATTCGAACGGTTAACTGGCCGGGTCAGCAACCAAAATCAACGGTTTTGAGGGAAAAAGCCGTTTTGGAGGAAAACAGAACCGGTCAGGTGACCGTTCCTGGTTTTTCTGGTCCGACCATTTGGTCCGGTCTGGTTTTGAAAACAGTGAAAAAAATAAAGGGAAAATTCATGGGGTTTGTTAATTTGATGAAAAATTTTGTCGGTGTTATACCATCATAGATTTCCCCTATTTTTCATAGTTGACTTCACTATCATCTTACGATATGATAGTGAAGTCACAGCAAAGTCCAAACACATTGGGAGGAGGGAGATTCCCATCAAACACAGCCACAGCTTCCCAATTAAGCATAGAGAGAAATCCTCATCGAATGCAAGCAAGCACAACTTTTTCATAAAAACAGAGATTTCTATCCAAAGTCCAAACACAAGCACGATACTTCCGATATGTTACAAAATAAAAACACATAGAACGAAAACGGACTAGGCAACCAATCAACAGAGAGCACGTTAGTTATTCGTCTGTACACATAGGGCGGATCCAGGTGTACGGAACACTGACGTGTTCAAACACGAATACTCCTACTCCTCAATCAAACACAGAGAGAGAGAGAGAGAGAGAGAGAGAGAGAAAGCACAGCGACGACTCCACTGGAATCGTCAGTGGAGCTGCACGGCCAGCCAACTCCGATACAGACGCCTCAAGGCCCACTGAATCCTGGGTTGCACCATGTCTTATCCCGTCCCGCAAGATGTTGCTTACGGCAGGGATGCCGGAAAGCTGAATTTCCTGCTCGCGGGCTAGGCTGCGGGGTGCTATAACTGTTGGATTAATATCCTGCACGTCGAAAATAGAACAATGGAAGCCACCAACCTTGCAAACTGGACGTAGT